TTATATATATACATATGTACAAACCTTTGCTCTCTTATTCCCCTCCTAAACTCCCCCAACCAATCTCAGACTCCCAACCCCACTCTCCCCTCTCCCCTCACTGAACCTCACGTCAACCCCAGCTCGTACCTCTCGTGAACCCCCCCCCCCCCCTCCCCAAGGAAAGCGATTACGAACCCAGCACCTGACGTCATCACCGGCCAGAGTTATGCATCCAAGGCAACACAAGCACGTGACCTGCTGATGCAAGCGAGCAGCGTATTCCTTCCTCAGGAGCCCGGCGTCAACATCTCCCCTCCCCCCCCAACACTCATCAGCAACAGAGAAGATGAGCAACAGAGAAACACAAGTAAACGCTTAAACGCAACCGCACCAGAAACAGGAAAGAGGAAAAATAAGCGAAAGAGCAGTAGGGAAAACGACAAGCCAAATGGCACAGCACCCCCTCCCCCCTTCTACCAACCACACCGAACCGCAAGCAGAATGATGCAAAGGACCACCACGCGCCCGGACGTTCCCCAGCCTGACAGTAGCATCAGGGCGCAAATTGTTATGAATAATAATAACTACAGTCAAAACATTGTAAGACAGGAAACGTCAAACTCAAATAATCTCGTCGAAATAAAAGAGAAAAAAGAAAACAAAAGAGAACGTAAACCTGATGCCAAACATCTTCGGGAGTCAACTGAACCAGAGGTGTTGTACCTATGCATAATAAACTCCCATACAGACAGAGGAAGCAGATATCGAAAACCACCTGCTTGGTAACTTCCCTGCGGTGGAGGATGTAGATGCATTCAAAACGAAAATGAGTCATTCATGTTATTCCGGCTTCACTGTTTCACTTACAGGCAAGGCACTTGTAACTGACGAAATTTTGAAGTCGGATTCCTTACCTAGCGGTATTCTTTTTTCTTCTTTTTTTTTCTTTTTTTGACCAAAATGACTTATCCACAAAACCGCCAGCCAACGCAAGAGCATGCAGAACACTTTCTAACATTTACCTCGCAAATGCTTGCTGCTCACTAATGAAGCGGACGAAACTCGACGTCACAATGAAATAAAATACAGTTGACATTGCGGTAATCAAAGAAACACTAAACCTCGGAAACATACAGTGGTACCACTTATACAGTAAAATTCGCGAGGGCAGAAAAAATGGTGGGGTTGGCATATCAAAGACACAGTCCTATGCAAATTGCCTCGCAGCTCGATCAAGATGATTCCCTCGCGAAATTAGGACTTGTAATTTGCAGCAAAATTATTGATTGTGAAATCACTTCTACAGTAAAATTTAAGTAAGTTGTGTGACCGTCCCAATGCATGGGAACAATACCACGGACAAAATCATAACAACATTTTTTTTATGAGAGTCCAACTTCCGTTCCCCTTTTTAACCAATGGTGATCATCTGTCCCTACTCTGGGTACCAAAGAAGTACCAGACACCCACGCAATCAAAAGAAACAAACCTCACGCGCAGATTCCATGATTCTAAAGTTCGCGAGTTAGTATTATGAATTACACATCTTGACTGGGCCGATGTTTTCAACGCCCCTAATCCCGATGCAAAATATCAACCATTCTATTAATCAGTCTGAAGTCAAGGTGACAGCTGCTTCCCCTTAAAATGAACATCTGCTCACCATCAGGATTAACCATGGGTCACCAACAGGATCAAAGACCTTATCCTGGCAAGACAAGAAGCCTACAAAACAAACAACTACAAAAACTACAAGAGCACTTAGCAAGAAAAAAAAATTAAACAAGAAATAAGATAGGATAAGAGAAATTATCATTAGCTAATAACTGATAAAGTCAGTGAAACAAACTCCAAATCATGGCATAGCTACATTGGGAACATAATTGGTGACAAAGGAGGTGACGCATACATCTTTCAACTCGGCGAAATTGGAGACTCGCCAGAGACTAATATTATCAACTGTCATTTTGTTAACAACAGCAAGCTCCTCCTATCACTACAATCGAAAGAGTCACTAGCATACTTGCCCTCGCGCCCTCCCCATACGATTGTAAGGGAATACGAAGTTTATCAGCTTTTAAAAATGGTACTAAAAATTAATCTGGCCCTGGTGACTTCCCGTCAAGATGACTGCAAGAATTCGCTCCCGAGCTCCCCATCTCCCCTAGCTTCATCCCTGAGCACGTGGTACCTGACCTATGGAAGCGTGCTGTCACAGTCCCAAAACAAATCCAATTAATTTTCTTTATGACCTTAGGCCTATATCCTATAAAACCCCCATCTCGTGCAAAATACTCGGAAGAATAATTACCAAGGAATTTTGGAAGACATTTACCCCTAAAGTAGATTATTGCCAATACGGAAACATCAAAGAAAGCTCCACTGTCCACTACCTGGTTAACTTTCTCAATTACATCACATAAGACCTACATAAGCGAATAAGGTGACCCCCCACCCCCCCTTCACCATTGAGTTGCAGAAGGCATTT